TTGCCTCGGTTATTTTAATCCGACGTATGGTCGAAGATTATGTTGTTTCTACTGTACACTGGTAACGGAGGTTTTTTTTTCTTCTTCTTCCCAAAAATGATCTCAGATCATGGCTCCCAGGTCGGCCCAGCCTTGAATGGGTACCAAGTGAAGTTTTGGGAAGTAAAGGCGGCTGGGGTGATGCTGACTACATCACCCACAAAGTGCCGATTGGTCTATAAAATATAGGTCTAGCCTTATATGCCCAGTACGCTTGAATGCTTGGAAAAAGGTTTAATTTTATTAGTGTGCACTGTTTTAAAATGTACACATTCTCCAATGTACACATTCTCCCATGTACACTATTTCCTCTATGAATCCACTAGTCTCTTAAATATAATTCTGTTTGAGATGTAACGTAAGTTATAGGTTTTATTTTTCTCTTGGTAAACCTGAAAAGTTGGCGTCTGCCACTTGGCTTATACATTGCGAACAGGTTTCATAATTCCGAAACACTCCTTTTGATTATAATAGCACGCAATTTGGAATCATACATTCAAGTTCCCCTTCTAAGATTTCGTTTATTTTTTTCATATTTTTTGAAATATTCTAGTATTTGCCATTTAGCTCATTATTATTATTATTATTATTATTATTATTATTATTATTATTATTATTATTATTATTTTATAGAAATGACATTTTGCGGCCGCAATCGTTACCGCCCGTTATTCGGAGGATAGCCCTGACTTTTATACATAAACAATAAGGAAAGTACTGGAGGCAGTGAGGATATTAATAATTCTCATTAATATTTTAGTTACACGATCATTAAACTAATTGTTCAATTTTTTCCACATCCCATTGCACCGAGTGTTTTTGGTAAAGGTATGAACAGATATTTCAGAAAGTCATCAGGTATGTGTCCACTATTATTAAACAGTTTTGTCAAAACGTCTAAATCTGGTTGCCCAGCAGTTTTTAATTCTTCAATCGTGATGTAATCTGACCCTGGAGATTTACACTTCGTCATGTAATGTATAGCAGCTTCCACTTCTACTTTCGGTATTGGCGGTCCTTTCCATTTTCATGACCATTTATGTCTGTCTGGTCTGTTGTTATCATCGTATAGCACTTTATATACTCTGTCCAGCTTTCAGTTATCTTGGTGGTGAACTGATGTATGGCAAGCTGGATGTTGTGAGGGCTCTTTGGGTGCGATTAAACAGTGCGGAGGCACAGATAAATCATTACGGTCTGGGGGAGAATGGCGCTGCGGGGAGTTACCAGGGGATCTTGCCGACGCTCGACGCTCAAGAGAAAGGCGAGACGGATATACAATCAGACAGTTATTGATGCCACTGGAATTGGAACTCGTCACTTGCTGTGGAAGATGGGGATGGTGCCATGGGGCGCTTATGGGAGTGTCCCTAGTTTTGTGATGTCCATTCTTGATTCAACATTCTTTCAGTTTATCTTATCTTTGTCTATTAACATTTCACACTCTTTTGTTTTCAGTCTAGCTATTTGCTATATATTTTCTAAAACCTGGTCATTCTTTATCTGATACACATTTTGTTGTTGTTGCGCAAACTTATATTACCAGTACTTTTATTAGATCTACCTTTTTTTCACTTTTAACTGTTGCAGTTTCTGTTTTTATCTTACCGTCTTGTTCTGAGTCTTGGTGGGGCTAAATTTATTCTCGGGTTCAACACTCCTATTTCTTCTGCTATGATATCAAACGCAACCGAAACTAATGAACAGTTTAAATGGGATTTTCAACAGATACAATAGCGAGAGTTTTGGCAAGGAGCCCCACGCTTTTCCAAGGTACTTCCCTCAATTATGAACATAATTTCCCTAACGTATACCCAGCAGCCAATCACAAGGCGGCTTGCAACAACAGGTTTGTGACGAGAGCAGGGATTGGATCAGGGGACCAATTGACCCGGAGTCTGCTAGCAAGAGACCATCATTACCCCAGCACCAGCCTACGGTTAGATGTGGATTACATGATGCTCAAATTCAGCGTTTTTACCTCGATCTTCTTTGTCTGTCAGGTAGACATTTATTGTCATTTGTTATATTTTAGGCTTTTGTTACTATAAATTATTGATTTGAATGATCGTAGTGCTGTCCTAGGCTCATCCATCCACAAATCCTGCCAGACGTCGCGTGCCGTTCAAATTGTACTTAACTTGTAGACGGTCGGGCCATAACACAGTAAATTATTAATATTTCCCTTTAACTTAAAGCGTTGGTCGTTGTTATATGCATTACGTTTATCTTAAACCATGTTTACAGTTTACATTAAATACACTGGCGAAAAGTATACACACACAATAGCACCAGAATTTGAGCGCATCGGAGCGAATTTTCACTATTTTCAGTGAAATAGTATGGTAGTTTTGTCATTCGCCAGCCATGAGTCACAACTGTTGTTGAGTCCTGTCGGGCCGTGTTCATGCATTCGCAGACAGAATGCGATGCCGTTTTATACTTTCAAGTTATTTCACCATCGTACAGATATATCATTTACTTTCACTATAACGTTTGCAGAAGAGATGCCGACATGAGTTGTGATTATTGAATTCAAACTATAAGATGCTTGTGTGGTTAAGTAGTACAACCTAATGTGAATGAATCACACACTTTTGATGCTGGTTACTCATCCGTCGCAGATCGATTCGCGTTTAGTTGTTAGCATTCAGTACGAGGTTTATGTGTTGGCCCTCGTGTGCCTATGGTGAGATGTTATTTCATCTTATCACTTTTCTTACATTATGACGTGTCGTCACTGTTGTTTTAAAACTAAAACAAGTAATGCCACCCTATTATTACAACCTGAATGAATGACATTGTAGTTTACATTGGAGAGAAATGAATATTGAATATTCAGTCACAAATTATCTTATCTGCCTAGCAGTAGTGCAGTATTGCTTCTCAACACCCCTGTTTTTTGCTTAACTATATCATAGAAAGCAAAGACTTCATTAGCATGGCTAAGAAGAAGAAGAAAGCTCTGAATAAGTGTGGATGTATATACTATGTGTGTATGTTGGGCACAACACTATGAAGAAAACATTAGAGGTGTCCCCCTCATCCTCCCCCCCCCCAACCACTCACAATAATCTAAGAAAGTAGCCTCCTCACTGTCTTACACATTTTCTAGGCAAATAATTGGATAGATTATTTTAGGGGGGGGGGGGGGGGTAGATGTCTGAGACTCCTCTCTTCCTAACTTCTGCCTCCTCACTGTCTTACACATTTTCTAGGCAAATGATTGGATAGATTATTGTGGGTTGTTGGAGAGGGGGAGGGTGTCTGAGCTCCCTCTCTCCCTAACTGTAGCCTCCTCACTGTCTTACACATTTTCTAGGCAAATAATTGGATAGGGGGGCTTAGGTGCTTATCTCCCCCTCCCCGCCCCCAATAATTAAAGGATCTGAGGAGGGCCCGCCCCTAATAATTGTGTAAGAGTCTAAGATGTCCCCTTTAACCATGTGTATTTATATTTTTAAAGTATTTGTTTGTAGATTTCATATTTTTCAAGTATTTTGTTGTATTTATTAGACTTTTGGGCTCTCCTGTAAACTACGGCCGGTAGACAAGAGTAGACGGCCGGTTAGTCGGAATTCTGTCTTTTGGCTACAGTGCAATTACAGAGTGGAAAAGGAGGGAACAAAACAATTGACACAATTACTGTGTGTTGGCAATAGACAGCGTGCACTGCCCTGCTATAATCATACGGTTTAGGTTAGGGTTAGAGTTAGGGTTTGGGTTACAGTTAGGGTGTGGGTTAGGGTTAGGGTTACGGTTAGTGTCGCCGCATCTCGTCTTCACACTAACTCATAGTAGCAACCCTAAACCTAACCCAAACCCTACCCCTAATCCAAACCCTAACCGTATGATGACAGTACGGCACTGCACGCTGTCTATCGCCAACACACAGTAATTATGTCACCTGTTCCCTCTATTCCACTCTGTAATGCGTCGCAAGAAGCGGTAATTGAACGAGGTCGCTAATTTGAGTCGCAGTGCGGAGTCTTCAAGCCATGTCGACGTCACTTTGTGTTGTGATTTGTGCCTTTTCCACTCCGTAATTGCACTGTAGCCAAGGGACAAAACTCTGACTAACCGGCCTTCTACTGTTGTCTACCGGCCGTAGTTTACAGGAGAGCCGACTTTTGTAACATATGACCTCACACTGTTTGTAGTTCTGTCCGAGGGAAAGAGAGAGAGAGGAGGGAGTGATGGAGAGAGATAAGAGTGTTTTGTAACATGCACAGCAGATCTTTGGGCTATCCTCCAAATAACGGCCACATATTATGGCAGCCAAAAACACACCCTGACAGTGCCTCAATCACATGTAAATTGCGGACTTTTTTCAGGCGAATATACCGTGGCAAAAGTATGATAAATTTCCGGTGATGATGTTGCAAAACGCAACAAACCGCCAAGTTAAACTCTCCGCCGAGAGTTCCTAGACTGGATGGCTGGGACTCACGAGCAGCAGCTACTGCATCGTGCAGCTTCCTTATTTTATTTGCTCGTGAGTCCCAGCCATCTAGTTTAGCCACCCTCCGTGCCGCTACGCGCGGCGCAGGTGATACTCTCAGCGGTAAAAACTGCATTACCAATGAGGCACCGATCATATTTAGCTGAATTTAAATGGCACCACAGCCCCACAGAGCAGATTTTTGGGCACTATTTGCAACTTCTGTGCCACTATTTTCAGATATAAAGGCCTCAATTATTGCTAAGTAGTTGATTTAGTCATTTTCCCTTTTTTTCGTTATTATTTTCAAGTTCAAGTTTTTAAATGTTTACAACACACGACCTATTGAGGCTCTGTCAGGGTGTGTTTTTGGCCGCCAAAATATGTAGCCGTTATTCTGAGGATAGCTGATCTTCAACTGTTTCAGTTCTTAGTAAAAGGGGAGGGAGTGAAAGAGAGAGACAGAGAGATTAAATGGTGCTAAGAACCACGTGTGATGTTTATTGTTACTGTATTCCAGTTACTGCTTGCAGTCAGTGCTGAAGACAAGTATGAACCCATGGTGGCTTTCATCTGTGATAGGCCAGCTATGCACAGAGCAGTGAATGGGTGGATTGCGGATAAATCCACTGATTGCCTCACTAGAGTGGAGGATATTCTGGCTTACTGCAAAACGGTAAGAACTTGCCATTAACTAGTTATTCATAAGGAAGCTACTGTCTTTTGTAATTTTTTAACTGTTGATGTTAGCTTGGACTCTTTGGTCTTCTCTTTAGCCCATCCCCCATGTCTGTTTCTCTGTCCAGAGTTTCACTTCTTTTGGTTCCAGACCTAAATAATTTGGCTTTGCCTGTTAGTTCTGTTCTTTGCTTTTCTGCTACCTTTTTATTATAATTTCAAATAGTTTACATTTTTCTTTGATCCTACTGGGTTCTGTATTTATTGCTACATCTGTCTGAGAGAGAGAGAGGGAGATAAAAATGAGAGAGAGATAAAAAGAAAGGATAGAAAGAGAGAGGCATTCTGTGTTACTAACAAAGCTGCAGAAAAAGACCTTTTTTATTTTGTGTGTTGAAGAATATTCTAATTTTCTCTGGAAATAGCAGTAAAACTAAGCGCTTGCTGTCATACTATTGTCCTATTCATCCTTCTTATCTATACCACTTTCTTTCTTGACAGAATCAGAATACACACATCACTTGTGGTATCTATTCTTATATGATCGTTCTTTGAATTCATTTATATCACAAGGTAAAATTTGAAGTGATCAGTACAATAATTTTAAATGAATATACATTCAGTAATAATAAATCTTTGAGCCTGAAGATTTGGGCCAAATAGCTAGTGCTGTCGCTAAGGACTCCATGTTAGTATTTTCTTTTTGCCCCACTCTACTTCACACGCATGCATACACACATGCACACACACACACACACACACAAATCGGAAACCAGAAGGCGTGAACATAATAATATATTAAAAAATAAAAATACAATTTCGTAAATTATTATACAGTATATAAAATTGTAATGGCATGCCTTAAAAATACAAAGGGCACAATCAATTTAAATTGCAACCCCGAGGATTGAACAAGGTATTACTTAAATGAAAACTGCTACTACTACTTATTTGGGTGTGGGATTTGGACACCTAGCAATTGGAATGGAGGATTCAGGCTTGGGAAGACATGTTCATCAGAGGCTGGAGTGAAAAGAGATAAGTGAAATAATTCAGCCATATTAAAAGATATAATATGCTTCTAAAAACCATACTGAAGGGAAAAGTGGAAGACAACTGAGCAAAAAGTAGCCATCGAGACAAATGAGAGGGTAACATAAACAGATGGCTGAACAGCAGTGTTAGAGAGTGTGTACATGCTGGACAAGAGACAAGCTGTGTTGGAGATCAACTGCAATCAACCTTTGCTGTGGAGACTGCACCTGACTGATTTGACAGAACCAGTATTGAACTTTATCAGTAGACAGCAGATTAAATGGTGTGGCTATATAACTAGCTTGACAACAGAGAGAGCACCACAGAGAGCAATGTTATACCGAAACAACAGTAACAGAGCTAGAGGATGACCATGCAGAATGGGGACTGCAGAAAAATCAGAGACACTTGAAAGTACTTTATTCCATGAATGAAATGGCCCATTCCAGAGATCTCTTCCTGCCCTGACACGGTGAGGCATTCCAGGAGTAGAGGAAACAAATTAGAAGAAGCAGAAGGAAAATTCTGTGCATGTTTTGGAGCACAAAACGAATGGAGAAATTAGAGATAAGATAAATTGGTATGCTGGCCACGTAGAAGCACTTTTGTCAGTTGAAAGCTTGTCTAATTTGGGCATATCCCACATTATGACACCCTCTCAAAGATTATCCTGCAGTGAATAATTGAAGACAAATGGGGAAGAGGAAGACAGGGGAATACCAAAGTGATAACAGTAAAGGGGGAACAGGATATGTTTCCACACTGGGTTGCTGGGAAGAGGACAGTGAACTACACTGAGTGGTAATGCTTTTATCATTGACACACCTTTGACCCTCCATGAAGGGTTATGGGATAAGATGATTTCAAGCTTTGCTTGTCTGCATATTTTTACTTGACCGTTTTCTGTATTATTGTATCTTGTTATCCTTTACCTCCACAAACTGTAGCATTAACAAATTGTTTTTCTTCAGAAATAACATTTCTCCCATGCACATACAGTACTTGTTTGTGAAGTCAGAATTATTCAGTGATGTCAGACTTTTGTTTTCAAATTTATTGGTACATCTTGATTCCAGAATTTATCAAAAGCGAGTACAAAAACTTTTTATTAGGTGAATTGTTGTTGTAACTTTATTGTTAGGCTGTAGGTCTTTGCTGTATACCTGGATCATTTCCCACATTAAAGGGTCTTTTGAAAGGATGCCAATGGTTTTTTTTTTCTCTTTTCTTTGTATAGTACAGTTTTGATTGATAGTGAACGCTTTGTCTTTTCAGTCCTTTTTATTTTTTTAAAGTTGTTTGCTACTCTGTGCATGGGGTTGTTATTCACGCATTACAATTTTTCTGTTAGGGTAAGCACTTTTCCCTCCCTTCTATGCCCCTAAGCTATGGAGGCCAGAAGTTGCCTCCATCTCATTGGTTGGTGTGCTTCTCATACCTCTAGTGATGATTCTGAGACCAATAATCTGCATTTTGTCCAGTTTGTATAGATTTGATTTGGCTGCAGTGGAGTATACTCCCATGCCATACTCTAGTTTTGGTTGTACGTAATATGTGTATACTTCTCGTACAGTGTTGGCATCTGCACCCCAGCTTGTTGCAGTAAGTTTCTTGATAAGTCTGAGTCGCAGGGTAGCTTTCCTTTAGGTGTCCTCAATGTGGGAGCCCCAGGTTAGTCTTTTGTCAAATTCTACTTCCAAATATGTGGGATTTTCCTCTTTTCATAGAGGCAACCCTCCTGATGGTCTGACCTGAGGATACAGAACCGAACGCAAAGAGGAAGAGGCAGAGATGAATTGTTCATTTGAAAAAAAAAAAACGCATTTAACTTTAACTGCTAGCTAGAGATGTTTGAAACTAAGCAAGCTGCAGTGGACCAAGAGGTGAAGAAAAGACGCTGGCGTTGCAAAGGACACACATTGAGGAAACGGAGAACTAGAATATCTTTGCATTGGAATCCAAAGGGGCATAGGAATAAAGGAAGACCAAAAAACACAAGGAGAATGGAGCTGGAGAATGAAGTTATAAAGATGGGGAGGACATGGGAAGAGCTGCATGCGATAGCAAAGGATAGAACAACTTGGTGTGAGTTGGTTGAGGACCTATGCTACATTTGGGGGCTAGAAAGACAGAAGAAGAAGAATGTTTGATTAAAACAAATATTTTTAAGCAGCTCAGTTAAAAACAGATGGAACAGAGGTTCTAGAAAGACTGGAAATGAAAAGAGAGTTGCTGAAAGTAACAAAACATGCGACCATATTAAAAGAGATAACACTCTTATGAAAACTTTGCTGGAGAAGAAAGTTGAAGGCAGGCAATCAAGAGATAGAGAGCAATACAAGTGGAAGGATAACATAAGAAGTCAGAAGGTGGATAAACATCAGTCTGACAAAGTGTACCACCGAGACAAGATAGAGAGAGTGTTGGAGATCCTTTGCAACCGGCTTTTTACTGTGGAGACAGGACTTGATTTATTATATAACGCTCTGTATGAAAATGTTTTTGTTTCCATGAATTACAACCGATTCCCAATGTAAATCCCCTTTTCAAGAACCCCTGTATTAACCGTTTTTGTTTTTATGAAATACGACCGGTTCTTCTGTGCTCTCACCTTTCAAGAATACTGTAGTTGACGATTGTTTCCATTAAATACAACTTTTTAAAAAAAATGTGTATTCTGTATATCAGCATCTTCAGGTATCTAATTTCACTTTCTGATTGCTTGTTAATGTGCCATATGGTGGGGTTGAGTATATGTAACAAAAGACAGTTCTAATTTTTCTTGTGATGTTTACTTCTCTTGCTCTCTCTCTCTCTCCCTCCCCCCTCCCTCTTTCCCCCCTCTCTCTTTCTCTAAACGCATATTGACTGTTGTTCCACAATGATCGTTCTCCAAATCTGATGTCAAACGACTGAGTTCTCTACAAAATCGGGCCTTACGCCTAGTCTCCAATAGAAACTACGTCGAGAAAAATCTCTTATACAAAGTTTAGCATATTCTGCTGCTCATTTATGGAACCACCTTCCTCTTGATCTGAAAACTACAGAGTCCCTACTCATTTAACCGCAGACTTTTTCATTTCATAACTACCAGTGATTATATGCCAGCTTAAATGTAGTTAATAATCCATGTTGCATTATCAGTTTCTAATTAAATAAGGTGTGTATGATATGTCTGTCTGTCTGTCTGTCCGTCTGTCTGTCTGTCCGTCCGCCCAAAAGCCCGCTAACCCGTCCGTCTGTCAGTCTGTCTAAGTGATTCTGTGTATGTATGGGTAATTATATGTTTTTTGTATGTGTTTGTGTGCGCATGCATTTTACCACCCATGTTTTGTTGTTTTCGCTTGATATTCATAGTATGCATATTATTTTATAAACATAACATGCTTTATTGATAAAATACAGCTACTGTATGAAGGTTGGGTGTTTGGTAGGGCCGAATGTAAGACGGGACTGTGTGCCCAGTTTGTAACCCTTTGAAAAATAAAGTTTGTTGGTTCGTTCTCTCTAACATATTTTACACCATTCCCGTTATCCTTTTGACTCCTTTTTCCGTTTCTGCCATCTTCCCCGTGTGGGTTCTAGGGCCCCATTGTGGGGAAAACAAAAATAGACCAACTGCACACAAATAAGCCAGTGAAAGGGATGTACATGCAAAACTCAGGCCCTGTCAAACAATCCAAATGGCAAACAATCAGGACTCTTTGCCGGAGCTTACAGCTGGTAAACAAAGAAGAAGAAAAGACTTCCTTCCGCCATTTATCATCTGTTGTTACATGTCCAAGATTTATTTAAAAAAATATTGGCACCTAGTATCTCTTTGATTACTGTGATGTTAACTTTGTGGTTTTTTGTAATTTTACTAGGCAGTATTTGCCAGTTCTTCTGTACAGTGGCCTCTTGAGACCATAGTTGAAATGAGTGCGAAGCTGTCTGCTGCCAAATTCTCTGCAGCTTGAATCAAACTCGGTATCTGAATTACAAATTGCGTCGTCGCAGTGCCCAAGCACAGACACATGTGTATGTCTTCTGCTTGAGTTAAATTCATTCTTCATTTTCACACACTTGAAAGTTCATTTGAATTGTGTTTTATCTTCAGATGTATCCTGAACAAAACATTACCAATGTGGTGGAGGCGTCCTACCTGGTAACAATCCCAGACTGGCCGATGGTTTCAGCTGACCGGAAACACCCGCACCGGGTTCGTCCATTTAGATGTCTTGGTGAGTAGCTCCTTTTTATTCTCCTTGTTCATTTGACTCCTGACCTCAGTTGCCTGAGAGGTCTGGAGGATTTGAATGACTGGATCAACGAGTCAGATTCTTATTGATTCTGAGGCCAACCCAAAAAATTGGAAAAACGAAAGGAAAAACAACTATATAAAACACATTATATTAAACAAAGGATATTGTTGCAATAGGCCTTCATCAGTAAACAACAGAAGAGAACCAAAAACAAACCACACACACAAAAGGAAATGTCTCTGAAATTACATCAGATATTATGTAAACACAGTGGCATCCGTGGCTTAGGCATTGCGGGTCCAACTCAGAATTTCAGCTTATTGCAAGCGAAACCCATTGCTGGCTGCGCGGATTTTTCATCATGGTATGGAGAATGCACGACTATTCCCTCCATCTCTACTGGTCACCTGCAGTGCACAGCTATTCCCTCAACCTCTGTTGGCCACTTGCAGTGCACAACTATTCCCTCCACCTTTATTTGCCACTTGCAGTGCACAACTATTCCCTCCACCTCTACTGGTTACATGCAGTGCACCACTATTCCCTCCACCTCTGTTTGCCACTTGCAGTGCACAACTATTCCCTCCACTTCTACTGGTTACATGCAGTGCACAACTATTCCCTCCACTTCTACTGGTTACATGCAGTGCACAACTATTCCCTCCACTTCTACTGGTTACATGCAGTGCACAACTATTCCCTCCACCTCTACTGGTTACATGCAGTTCACAATTCCCTCCACCTCTACTGGTTACATGCAGTGCACCACTATTCCCTCCACCTCTGTTTGCCACTTGCAGTGCACAACTATTCCCTCCACCTCTGTTTGCCACTTGTTTTGCACAACTATTCCCTCCACCTCTGTTTGCCACTTGTTTTGCACAACTATTCCCTCCACCTCTACTGGTCACTTGCAGTGCACAACTATTCCCTCCACCTCTACTGGTCACTTGCAGTGCACAACTATTCCCTCCACCTCTGTTAGCCACTTGCAGTGCACAACTATTCCCTCCACCTCTACTGGTCACTTGCAGTGCACAACTATTCCCTCCACCTCTACTGGTCACTTGCAGTGCACAACTATTCCCTCCACCTCTACTGGTTACTTGCAGTGCACAACTATTCCCTCCACCTCTACTGGTCACTTTCAGTGTACTGAATGTTTGCATAGTTTCATCTTTTCTAGTCAGCCAAATTCTGTATCCAGGTCTTACTTGATCTGTCTCTTCTCATTCTCTCATCTTCTGATATATTTAAGATTATTTTTAAAAATGTTGATCACATGCAATTCACTTGATGTTTGCATATTTTATTCCTTTATATCAACCAGATTGTGTATCCAGGCCATTCTTCATCTGTCCCTTCTTCTCCTCTTGCTGATATATTGAATATTATATCAGACAATTCTTTCTCATGTGGGACCGACCCATTGTGGGGAAACAAGAATAGATTCACTGCTCCCTAGCAAGCATGTTGTAAGAGTTGACTAATTATGGATGTTTTCAATTAACTCGGAGTGCATCTACCAGGGAGGTGAAGAACCAACAGTCTGCATACATATAATACAGATCTGTAAAATGGATGTACATGCAAAACCTAGGGTCTGGAACAGGACTAAAGTCCAGAAATGAACAAACAACCAGAACACATGAACACAATTTTAGTTCCATCAGGGATGTATTTATGACTCTTATTAGTCCCTGGATAGTGCACATTTGTTTAAACACAAACTCAGTTTTCTGTCCCTTGCAGTTTGTGTTAATGAGATGTTACTGTTTTTTTCTTTTCTTAAAGTTGATTAAAATAAATTCTACAGCTGACTTTGCTGGATACTTTGTCTCAGAGAGTACATTTCTATGTTTACACTTCTGTTGATGAGTATCATAGATAATCTGTTGGGATTAAAAATAGCAAGCAATTGATCTTCACATTGTGTGTTAAATATTAAGGCAATCAGCTAGCAGTCTTTGCCGTAACATGAAACAAAAATTGCTGCACCATGTGTGCACGTTTATGTGTACGTGTGTGCACCATGTGTGTACAGATGCAGGCCCACACACATAAACAGGGAAGGGGAGAGAGAAGAGTGGGAGGTATCTCACAGTTCACTTTGTAAAATCCAGAATAAAGAAGTTGATTCTCTCGCTATGAACACCACTTTTGTGAGTGAACGATAAATGACATGAAGGGCAAAATGTAATGCAGGCTTACATTCTCAACTGGTTAATAGTTGGTTGCATATCTTTCATAGGATGTTACGAGCCAGCCCCAGCATTTGTTGGCTGTTATAAGATAATTTTGCATTTAGTAGTTTGCCATTGCATACTAAACAGTTTATGCTCATACCATTTTTCAAATTAACCCAGAGTGGTCTGCTGGCAAATCGTATGCAGCTGAATTGAACCTGGTATGTTGGTATTATGAATGTACATTTATAATCCCTAGGCCAGAGCCACAGTTTGTGATTGCTTTGAAAATAAAGCTTGTCTGTTTGCATGTTTGTTCAGTTGGAGGTTTCCAGTCTGATGCCCTTTTGGTGCCCCAGCATTGTGAGTTTGACCATCGACATGACCAGTCTCTGTGTGAAGGTTTCTCTCACTGGAACATCGTGGCCGACGAGGCTTGCAAACAGAAAGGCATGCACCTGGAGAGTTTCGGCATGCTGCTTAACTGTGACCTGGGCAAGTTCAGCGGTGTGGAGTACGTCTGCTGTCCCAACAAAAGTGAGTGACTATTTAATCAATCTCATTGTCATCTTCCTCGAATGACTGTTTTATCACTCTCATCATCCTCATCTTCCTCTCCTCTTTCCTGGTGTCATAGTTTTCTCAACTTTTTCGGTATCGGAAGATTATGTAGCAAATTCCCAGGTTGGACAACAATTAGGAACGCTACACACAGGCTAAACACAGCTTAATGGCCAGATTTCCAGAGTGTGGTCTGACCAAATGTAGAAAATAAATAAAAACATATTATTCGTTGGCTATGACTCACAAGGATTATCCCATCACACACTATACATTGTTTGGGACCAAAACAGTTAACTGCTCAATGGATCTATCTTTTTCTTCAGATTTCTAGCCTTGAGCAGACATTGGCATTCGTGAAACTTTTCTCTTTAACCAAATATTTTTTTCTTTTGATTAATTATAACTTTTGTGTTGTTGTTCAGCTGTTTAAACCTTTCATTTACTTATTGCTCTTTCTGTAACACATGACAGCTGGGAATATTAATGGAAAGTGAGATAGAGGATGACAACTCTTGACAGCCTTTTTGTCATGGGCTGGAAAGTTCTCGGCACACAAACTGATACATGCAGCTGGAGATGGCGAGATGTGGAGAAGCATGATCACCCATGCCATCAGCAAGGCATTTAATAAAGATAGCTCCTTCTTTCTCTTGCTGAATACTTTGTCTCATAAAGCACATTTCTGTATTATTCTTTTCTTGCTGCGTCTCTTAAATTCCAGTTATCATTTTCTCTTAGCCTCTCAAGCAGATGCACTTCAACTTTGAAGAAAACATCCCTGGTTAGTCGACTCTATTAAACATGCTCATTTGGGTGGCAGTGGGTCCATTTTTTTTGGGTCACCCTGACACTGGGACCCCTGTACCCAAGGGATCAGAAGAGGTCAATCCACATTCTTTAGGCACATCATGAGAAAGAATGACAATGGGAAAATTAAATGCGAAGAGAACCTGGGTCAGACCAGGAGAGCAGATGTTGAACAGTTTGGCATTATGGCAGGACAGGGTATCTGTATCATAAATAATTAACAGTAGATGACAATTTATGGTTAAGAATGTTCAGACATATTTGAATAGCAGAGCTACGTATCATGGTTTATAAAAAAAATGACAAGCAAGCAGCTATTTCTTTTGCTATCCATACAGATTCTTTTTCTAATTCTTTTTATGAAACTCAGATTCTGGTTTACAGTACAAGCTTATTTGTTTTGAACAAAGTAAATTATTGTTAATTTCTCAACGCACTGGTAAACCCTGGAGAAAAGATCCAGACACTGCTCCTCACCCATGCATGATTTTCTATGGCCATACAGTTGAGTTGAGTCAAAAACCGACATCACAGCACTCGGGGCATTCCCGTAAGCACTCTGTCCCCATCTTCAGCAGCCAGCGCTGAGTTACGATACTAATGGTGCCAGTAGCATTCTGATTAAATGTCGGTCTTGCCATTCCTCTGAGCCTCGAGCATCTGCCAGAACCCCTCGTCACTCCCCGCTGCATCTATCTCACCAGACTGTGGTGATCCATCTGCTCCTCCGAACTGTACATGCTCTCCCACAAGGCACGGCCACACAGATAAGTCTAAACAACTATTAAAACACTTTTATAGTCTATGCAAACAAAAATCTGTGAACAACTGTTAGATTGCACTTATAACCTAGCCATACAGATAAACCCAGACAACTATTAGAACTTTGTGTTGTTAAAAGGGACACCTTTTCATGCCTTCTATGCATCGGGCATAAAGAGTTACACCTACATTTATACTGTAATTCACCACTTGATGGGTGATTTGGTCAGCATCCCACCAGCCGGCCACCTTTACTTCTCCAAATATTACCTGGCACCTTTTGAGGCTGGGTCGACCTGGGAGCCAAGGTTGATTTTGAAAAAGAAAAAAAAAAACATTCGCATTGTTGTGGATTTTGATCCAAGACCTCTGGACTGGGAGGCGAATGTCTAGCCACTGTGATATTTCGTCTCCCTTGTTGTAATCGAATGTTTTGCCACTGTGATATTTCTTCTCCGTTGTTGTAATCGAATGTTTTGCCACTGTGATATTTTTTCTCCCTCGTTGTAATCGAATGTCTTGCCACTGTAATATTTCGTCTCCCTCGTTGTAATCGAATGTCTTGCCACTGTGATATTTCGTCTCCCTCGTTGTAATCGAATGTCTTGCCACTGTAATATTTCGTCTCCCTCGTTGTAATCGAATATCTAGCCACTGTGATATTTTGTCTCCCTCGTTGAAAGTGAATGTCTTGCCACTGTAATATTTTGTCTCTCTCGTAATTGAATGTCTGGCCACTGTGATATTTTGTCTCCCTCGTTGTAAGTGAATGTCTAGTCACTGTAATTTTTTCGTCTCCTTCACTGTAATCTGGTCATACAAATAAATACTAAACAAATCTTTAAACTGTTGTAACCTGATCCTATAAACAGCTGTTGAAACACTGTAAAAATCTGCTCATGCTTTGACCTGCAAGGTCGTTGAATTCCTCTTTTCCCCAGATCTTGTCCTAAATGGTTTAATAATCCTTCATGCACTATTTAATCTACTCTGAAGTTATTATGTTACATTACACATTCTTCCAATGCACAACCTTGCTCTGTGTTTATGCCACGTTAGGTAATGTGTGTGGGTGTGTGCTTCACCTTGTCTTCTCTCATAACCTCAGAGGTCTGTGGAACAACTAACTTCTACTGCACTTTGATTTGTTTCTGCATGTGTCCATCTCTTACCATATTTCCAATTTATGTCTCAGATTTTGTTGTCTGTTTCTGAAAGTTTTTTGTCACATATGTTTGGTCCCATTTTATCTTTCATTTGGGGCAGTTGCATAAGCATGTTGTTCAAACCAGTGTTTATAAAAACATTCTTTGTGTGCATTTTTACAGTTAGGAGGTATTAGTAACACCCACACATGGATGACATTCTGCACGCAATTACTTGACTTATTAGAAGTATTTTTGTGGTCTCACACATGGATGACAGACATTCTTGCACCCAATTATATTGTTAAGAGTATTTTTATGGGTGATATTCTGCACTAAATTACATTTTTTTTTTAAAGGGATTCACATGTCTCTAAACCAGAGCTGTTCAGCTAAGTTTACTCAGGGGCTAGCATTTTGAAAACGGGGATCGTCATGGTCAGAGCACAAGCCCCAAGCATAGAAAGATTCTTCTTCTTTTGTATGTCCTTTTTTACCACTTCGGGTGTCAAAGGAGATATAAGGTCCTTCTTCAGGCTCTTCTGACTGCTTCGACCGTAGACACATTATGGTGCACTAGAGTTTCGCTGATATCTTTCCATATTTTCTTGATCTACCTCTTGTTCTAGGTCCTACTCCTCTTTTGGTATGTGCCTAATTAATTGTTTTTCACAACATTCTTTTCTTTTGTAGGGAGACACTACCCACCACCCCCCTCCGCACCCCCCATCAACCCCAATCCCCTTTCTTCCTCCACCCCTGCCTCTCCAGATGGGGCAAGGAACTCCATACAGGAATATTGATTTTAATGCATAGGTTAACATTAAATTACTTTTTAATGCATGGAGATTGACCAAGACAGTTAGTTACTTAAAACAGCTAGTGGGCTAACCCATCAGTCATGATCAGACCTAGTGGACTAACCCATCAGTCATGATCAGACTGCAGACCTAGTGGGCTAACCCATCAGTCATGATCAGACTGCAGACCTAGTGGACTAACCCATCAGTCATGATCAGACTGCAGACCTAGTGGGCTAACCCATCAGTCATGATCAGACTGCAGACCTAGTGGGCTAACCCATCAGTCATGATCAGACTGCAGACATAGTGGGCTAACCCATCAGTCATGATCAGACTGCAGACCTAGTGGGCTAACCCATCAGTCATGATCAGACTGCAGACCTAGTGGGCTAACCCATCAGTCATGATCAGACTGCAGACCTAGTGGGCTAACCCATCAGTCATGATCAGACTGCAGACCTAGTGGGCTAACCCATCAGTCATGATCAGACTGCAGACCTAGTGGGCTAACCCATCAGTCATGAGCAGACTGCAGACCTAGTGGGCTAACCCATCAGTCATGATCAGACTGCAGACCTAGTGGGCTAACCCATCAGTCATGATCAGACTGCAGACATCTCCATCTAGCGGTTAAAAAAAAAAAAGGAAAATCCTGAAGTTTGGCTTCAGCGCCAGGAGATTACCTAGCAGATTCTCAAAGGCACAATTATTACAAGGAAAACAAAATTGTCAGTGTATTAATTCCAAAGAGCAGCATATTTTGTGCTGCTTCTAATCTGGCCAGATTTCTTGAGTGTACCCGGACCAAATATAAAAGATATAATTACACACAAAACACCTTTTGCAGACATTAGATAATCATTCATGGAGCCTTTGTTTAATACAGAATGAATTAAACCAGACTTTCCTCATTCTAAGTATGTGCTGTGTAGGATTGTCAGTGGTGCTGTAGCACTGTCTTTTCATGGTAAAAAAGACTTTTCTCATTCTATGTATGTGCTGTGTAGGATTGTCAGTGATGCTGTAGCACTGTCTAGTCATGGTAAAACAGACGACTCTCCTTCTATGTATGTGCTGTATCAATCTGTGTTGTCTTTGTCAGTTGGGTGTTTTTTCAGTCACAGTTTGTACTGTGTTTATTACTCCGTTGATAAAGACTTTGGTCAAAACGCTGGGTTGTGCTTGTGTCATCTTTTTTATTCCCTCAGTTAAACTTTCTAGTCACACTTTGTGTTATATTTAGCATTCCAGCTAGTCCTATGTGCAATCTGTGACGTTTACACCACACATTAGCTTTTTTTTTAAAAAAAAAATGAAATCTCTAAGTCAACTGTAAGTCGAGATACACTTATTCAAAGTTTGTGCATATGTAATGAGCTTGAAAACCTAGATAAATAAGTTGTACATGCTTCAGCAAAGGCAGAAATAGAGCTGTAAAGCGCGTTCTTTTCAAACC